ATGGGCCTTTTAATTTACTTTTTGGCCTTTACACTGGCTTAAAGTGAACTCATAAAAACAGTAATATTGTAGTTATCATTACAGACTTATTTTTAAAGGTGCAGGCTCTGCAGTAATCATCCCATACTTGGCTTCACTATCTACTGAGTTACGGACCTGGAGCAAGCATTTGCCCAGCATTGTCTAAGAGATTTGAACTCCTCCTCAGAATGTTGCATTAGTAGCCCACTAGGTATTGAAAGCAGGTTCTGGATCACAACTCTCGAGTCCTCACCTTTACAATCCAGCAATCATTGCTCTTATACTTGATTTATCACAGGTTGTTTCTAGCCAATATTTATGTTCATGTTAATATAACAGGGGTTTGGTTAGGTAGACAGATAACATATATTATAGAATTCCATATCTACAAATATATTGCCAGCAAATTAGACTCCACGACCTTCATGTTTGTTAGACACAAGTGGTCTGTGTACTAGCATGCTTGTTAGATTTGATCAAACACCAAAATTCCAAGCATACATCAGTTCTGCTCCTGAGCCAAATGACATGCACTACTCTAGGGTCACTCAAAACAATGGCTCTACATACTGCAATCATAGCAGCAATACATCAGTAATCCCAGACAATCAGTCTTATTTACAATAAGATACATGACAATTAGCAGACTCCTCCTATGAATAGAGACACTATTGATATTTACAAATATTACAGCCCAATCTGGCCATTTACACTAAGCTCAAGGAATGTCCATATGTCTGTAGGCCTTCTCAACAACCTCTGGATGAGTCTTTTCAAGTGCGGAGATGATCAGTCAAGCACGGTCAAGTCAAAATGTTCACAATGGCTATAATCCCCCCCACTTCAAAATAAGGCAGCACTAGGAATGTCAGCAGGATATTTCCCATTGCCTATCTATAATAACAAACATAGATATTTCCCTGAATATGCATTTTTATACAGTGGTCATTGGAACATTAAAAAAATGACTGCTGAATGCAGACAATGCGTCCCCTTATTTCCTGAATTCAGCTAATCCCACTGCCCCACCCTTGGTACTCTACTGGTTAGGGGATTTCAATTTTTTTCCAAAGTAAGGGGCTCTGAAAAAAAAAAACCTGTTTGAACCAAACACAAATGAGTCACTTTTTTATAGCAATGAATCAGTTTGATGCATCTTTTAATTCATCCATTCAAGGTATCTATCTGCCTGAACAACATGCAAGATTGATCTCCCAACTAATGGTGCCTGAATAGTTCTGGTATTACATGGCACAGGCAATGCCACAGAAGCACTGACACCAATCTTTTAAGATGTCTGTAAGGGAATATACGACCATTAACTACCAATGAGAGGGACATTCTTCCTACTGAGCACCAATATAAAGTGAATGCATCCCAATGAGCACCAGTGTAAGGGGCATTCTCTGCACTGACCACCCACATAAGGGACATTCTTTGCACTGACCACCAGTATAAGGAGTACTCTTCACACTGATCCCCAATGTAAGGAACATTATTTACACTGACCACCAGTGTACAGTACATTCTTCCCAACTACCACAAATGTAAGGGGCATTTTCCCCAATGACTACCGATTTAAGGAGCATTCTCCCTCTGACCACCAATATAAGAAGTATTCTTACTGTTCACTGACCACCACTGTAAGGGGCACTCTTACTTCTCACTGACCACCAATGTAAGGGACATTTTTACCGATGACCATCAATGTAGGGAGCATTACCCCCAACCATGAATGTGTGTGTGTGTGTGTGTGTGGGGGGGGGGGGGGCTGGGGGCATTGCACCTACATCTAACTATGAATGCAAGATCCTCCTCCCCCCACTGACAGTTAATATAAGGGGTCCCTTCTCCTAGTGATCTTCAGTAAAAGGGGACATTTCTCCCACTGACCATCAATGTAAGGGGGACCTTCTCCCACTGACCATCAATACTGTGTCTAAATTCTAACAACGCAAACAGCAGCTTGTAACAATTTGCCCACTCTATTAAATATTAGGGGTCTTTGTAAACTGTCCAAAGCTTATATTGTTCAAGCAGTCTGATTATTAGGTATGTGATAGCAAACTGGCAATGCTCACTCTGATTCTATTGCAATATATATACCATAATCTAATGTAATCAATCAATGTGACACAGTAACAGGTCTTCAAAAAACAAAGTAACAAGTGTTTGTGTAAACATCAACATTTCATCTAGTGCTCAATAAGTGCTATGTAAACATTAATGATCAACATGTCATCAATCACTTCCTATAAGTTGTTCTTATCAGTCCAAAGGTTTTGAAAAATATAAGGAAAAAATATATAAATAATTCATGTGTTCTTGCCCCCCCAAAAAATATTTTTTTGCTTATAAATAAATTTTCTTCTGAAAACAAACATGATAAAAATTGTTGAATAATTGTATCACATTTCTTGTGTGTGCTTGATCCAATCCACCTCCTCAATTGATCACCACCAACATTTGCCCTGAATTGACTCACCAGATACAGTATAGTGGCTAGTACTGTATATGGAAAACTATACTCGCAAAAACCAACAATATTTCTATAGTTGCTCAAGTATATAGACCGCAGATGAATGTTGTTGTTCAGAAGTATTAGATCCAGCAATATACAGTATACCAAGGGAGGGAAGAACAAAAGAGATCCTCATGGCATAAAAATGTATATTTATTGTAAAAAGAAAAAGACTGCACTAAAGCTCACATTTAAAAGTATCTGACCTGACAGTAGGTATTAATTGCAAAACATGGGAACGCCAGCCTCAGCCATTCTCCTCTGGCAGTAAGCATGGTCTCCAACACCAAGGTAACGTCACAACCAAAGACACACCCTATGTATGCTTCATCTATCAACATCTTCCAGGGGGGAATTGCATGTTGATCGTTGATGTTTACATAGCACTTTTCACTTTATTTTTTTGAGCACTAGATGAAATATTGATTGTTGAAGTTTACATAACACTTGTTATTTTCTGAGCACTTGCTACTGCATCACATTGAATGATTACATTAGATTGTGGTATATATTGCAATAGAATCAGAATGAAAGCTGCCAATTTTTGCTATCACTTTTTTGAGTCTAGTCACTCCACTCAATTAAAGCTGCTGCACTGATTAGATTTTCTGTGGCTCGGTTCATTTGGTCTTTTTTTATTATTACGTATGAATAGTAAAAGTACCCCTGCCTAATAACTTAGCTTATCTAATTTACTGATTATGCAGAATTTTTGGTAACTAACTTCAATGCATTCTGTATTAACCCCATTTTTTCATGCTGTATGAAAGTGAATCAAATGGTTAATTAATATTAATAAATTCTAGCAATTAATGTATGTTATCTCAAATGTTGCATTATATCAGTGAAACCATTTGATTTTTAGTCTGTATGTGTTTCCTTTTTTTCATTTATATTGCAAAACTAAAACTACACAAATCTTTCCAGCCAATAGATGCGGAAGATCTGCTGCATCTCTGAATGATTTGGTGTATGAAGGGTTTCAGCACAGCATTATATCATGCTTAAATTGCTTATCCATAAACCCAGTTCTGAAGTCAGTAGGTTTATCTCTATAGAAAGGCAGTCATTACCTCACTGTATTGCTGAGTACTGCTAATTAGGTCTGCTGACTGGAAATTGTTAAAGTTGAAGTGAACCTAAAAATATACTGTATACATTTTTACAGAGGATAAATACATTTTAGCATTTGCTATATAGTGGAAGCTTTTGTGGAAGCTTCCATATTTATAGAAACATCATCAATTTTCAGAAGTCACTACTTTCATTTTGTTACATTTCATATATCGTACTCTGTTTTAAATATTTAAATTTAAATTATTATATTTTTTTTACATTTAAAAGCAGGCTATGTTATAGACTGAAAAGATCTGGGTTTTTGTATTTTTGTGAATTATGTAATTACATCTATCTGACAATTATGCTTTATTTCTTATAAGCCTTAGCTTAACAATTCACCCTGCATTTTGGAGTACAGCAGAGGGTAACACCAAATAGGTGCCACTTTGTGTGTTATACAGAGTAATTTGGAGTGTTTGTTTGTAATAACCAATCACATTCCATGTTTCATTTTAGTGCACTTTGTTTAACAAAAAAATAAAAAAGATACATCTGATTGGGAGTTGTGAACAACAGCCTCAGTTGTCCTTTGCCGTAACTTTATTTTGTAAGACTCATTGGACTTTTTATTAAAAAAAGTACAGTAGAAAGGGAGATTATTATCCATGCAGATAAACAAATGCCAGCATGGCTTATTGTAGAAAAAAAGGCAATTGGAATGTGATTTTGTTGCTCCAGGCATCTGCTCCACTTTTTCTCTGCTCCAGTTTCTTTTTTTTAATTAAAGTGTATGTATAGCTAAAACATTCTACTTTTAGCTTTGTAAAGAGTAGTGAAAGGTTAAAACCTTTGAAAATGTATTTTTTTTGCTGTCTGTATACCATTTGGGAGATTTCTTTCTTGCTTTGTCCCATAGCCAAAACAGGAAGTGAGGGAAAATCTCTATAAAGTGAGGAGAAAACCTCTCTTAAACAATAGTCACTGCAATGGGTGTCCTTAATAGAAGATTTATTCTCACTTCTTCTTTGCAACTGCAAAATTTTGAACATTCTGTCTTGGTGACAAAGGACACCAGAACAAATAGAAAGGGTGGATCTACCTAGTGGAGACACAGACAGCAATAAAAACTTGACAGGGGTTCTAAGCTTTTGCTATTCTATCCAGTACTAAATAAAAAAGTATGCATGTACATACACTTTAAGGCAATTCTTTGTGACGTACATACACTTCAAGGGCAATTCTTTGTGATGTACATACACTTTAAGGGCAATTCTTTGTGATTGCCCTTTTTCAACTCTGCTCCAAGCTCATAATCTCCAGCTGACTAACATTGCCTTGCTTAACACATCTTCCTTTTGCAATATAGTATGCACCTGAAGAGCTAATCGAGTATGACTATGAGTATGGGGGAGCAGATTACAAGGAGCCTGATTATGTAACAGTGGCACCCTCAATAACTGAAGAACTTGTAGCTCAGACTGAGGTATAGTAAATTTGTGTTGTTGTGTGCGCTATATGTGTCACGTTTGTTTCGTCATCTGCTCGGGTGTAATCTCAGTCCCTTCTTTCTACATCTCCTTTGACTGCACCTTTCTGGAAGTTGGATGAAAAATGGCAGGCAGTATCGGCAAATATTGAGGTGGCAATACAGCGTCAAGATTTACATGCTTAAGCAAATCTATTATAACTGTACTGAGATATTTTTTCTTAGTATATTTTAAAACTTGATGCAGAATTGTCAGATTATTGTAAAAACATGTTTCTAGCTGTGGGAAATTTAATATTTTGGTTCTGAAAACAGCAGCTATGTTCCTGGAATTTGAGATATCTCAGTATCTTATTTTAGATTTCATTTATATTTAAGGCAAAGTTGTCTGGTCTTATAAAGTGTGTATTTACTGTGCAGTGCTATTCAATGAGCAATAGTCCTTAGCCCTTTCAGCCTTCTATAATCCTTAAAGCTTACATTGTTTACTTATGAGCAATTCCAAGTTCTAGAGATATCAATATGAGTGTGAAGTATACTTACCTCCATTTCCTTGTAACAGACATCTTCAGGCCTAAAGGTTTGGATTCTGACATGCTTGCATCCTAAATGCACTACTCAGTCCTGCAGCCAGTTGTCATTGATCTCCATGAATTTCTCTGAGTCTGACAACTAATGGTACCTGTCTGCAGAGCCGGGTGCTGAGAAGGACTGTTCTTGCAACTTTAGACCTGGGGGTGTCTGCATAGGAGTATGGGAGGTAAGTGCAGAGTTTTTCTTCTTTTTATTATTTATCAATGTGCCTGATGTGAGATCCACTCCAGAGCAGTATGGTATTCTTAAAGAGTAAATTCAGGCTATAAACAGTTTTCCATCAAATCCTTGGTAAATAAGGCAAACTGAAGAGATGTTATATATATTGTAACCTACAGCTAATGCAAATAAATCAGATTAAAGCGGCTTTAAAGGTATAGTTGGACTCATGTGTCCAAAATTATCTATTTGCATGGAAACAGTCAGATTTCAGATGACCACTGACCAATACTTCCAATAGAAAGGAAGTTGAAGAGCAGTCCAAATTATTCTGATTTCTTATTGATTGCTATTGGTTAATGAATGCTACTGCTTTTTGCACATTTGTTATTAAATGGATTCAAGAGGCTTAAATGCTTAAAGCAGTATTAAACACAAAAGCAAACATTTATTATGTTGCAGCTTACCAATTCATAGATCTGATCGCTCCATTTGTTTTCTTTTTTAGGCTATCTTTCTTTCTTTTATTTTATCTGGTGATCTCACCAGTAAGTCTGTTGTTTTTTAGTTGCTGTAAGTGCTTATAAAGTGTTAGATGCAGTTTTGCTTCAGTTTGTCAGTGCATCAAAATCTGCTACATCCAACACTCCTCTTCACCCAAACTGACAATGCTGCTGTGCCACCTATGCTCCTTCATCCAGGTGGTCGAAACAAAAGGGAAAAGCCTAACAAAAAAGAAAACTAATGCAACCACCACATCTATGGATTACTAAGTTGCAATATATAAAATTTTTGAGTTTAATACCACTCTAATAGCTAAATGGTTACTATTTCGGTACAAAAATAATCAGAGGCTGTTACAAAACCATAAGTGAAGTAGCATCTCATGTACTGTTATGGCAGTTCCTGATCTGAATACTAACTGGACAGTGGACACAATTAAAAAGAATGTTGCTCCTAGAATAGCACTGAATAGTGAATAACACATGAAAAGGGCCTGCCTGTAAAATTCCTCCTCACTTCCACTTCTTAATTCCTTCATTCATTGTTTCCATTCGGTCTTTCACCACATTTTTGCAGAAGAAGAAAGCCAGTTCCAAAACGAAGAAGAAGCCAGTACCCCCTAAATCAAAGGACAAACCCCAAAAGGTCACGCCCAAAAACTCATTTGCAGCTAAGAAGAAGAAGGGCAAGACCAATTACCAAGCATCAACAAGAAAAAGAATAGGGGTAAAGGTAGCAAGAAATCAAGATCTTCAGTGGGGCAAATCCCGAAGATCTCTGATCATGAGACATAAAATGCCCTAACCCCAACTAGATGTGGACAGAATTTCTGGCTAATACCATAACCTGACTATCACTATACTCCTACTTTGATCCAATACATTATTTGTAACATTCCAGGAAAAAGTTACCAAATAACAATATTCTTTTTGTTCCTCAGGCCAATGTAGTTGACTACTTTCCAGAACAATATGGTGAAGTAGACTATGGTTACCAGACAGATACACCTGCTCTTACTACTGGACCCAATGAGGTAAAATAAAGGAGAAAAAGTACTTTACATATCACCAGATTTTTTCTACAGGTTTGAAAAATGGATTGGGTATTTTATCATTTATATTCATGGTCATTATTTCATCTTCCCTATACTCCACAAAAGAAAATAAACATAATTTTGAGTGACATGTATACTGATCACCTTTTGTAAAATAAAAAGTACCCTTCATTTAAAAACAATTCTATGTATGCTGCAATATGCTGTGATGGCTAAAAAACCACAACTTTGAAACAGCAGTTTAATGTGTGCCCAATATTATCTGACTGGAGAAACAGCCATTTTTGAACCAATATCTATGCTGCTCATTATATATATTGATTCAAATGCAAAGTTCATGCTTACTGGGTTGCATAAAAAGGTACATTTAAACATCTGCTGCTTTATTGACTTGCTTTTGCTTGCTTATCCTAAAACATCAAACTCTTGAGAGAACATAACCATTTGTTCTGCAAGACACAAAAATTATGGTACTCTTTACATTGCGATTACCAATTTGAATACAATGTTATCATTATGAATTCCAAACCTAAGCTTGTAAAACTACTGAAACTATTAAGATAATTAGTTCATTTAAATTCTAATATTCTTTCAAGGGCAACCATAGTAAATAAATGGGTTTGTTCAAAAGCAACCAGTCAACTTTCTTAAACGTTTAAAATTTAGGCAAGTTTGACTCGTTGTTTTACATGAGAAAAAATTTTCTTTAAACAGTTTTGGAAATTTAGTTTCTAGTACAAAAATGTGCTTTCAATTTATTTGCTTTGGTGCTGCAATACCGGGTGTTGGCAACTTGTGGCTGTCTATCAACTGGTATACGACTCTCAGCATGTGCATTTGAGCAGACGATTGCTGAGAATGTTGAGAGCTGTATTACTGCAATTGACAAGTCATAAGCTTCTAACTCCTATCTTGCTTTTGAACTGTAAATGCTGATATTTTCTAAGGGCAAGCTGATATCAATTCAAATCAATGGTTGTTGTTTATGAGCGGCTGGTAAGCTAAATAATAGTTGCACCTTGCATATTTACTCATGCTAGTTAACCTGTGTAAAACGTATTACATGAAAAAGAAGTCATTGCATTAAGAACTTCTAAATTTGTTTAAATTTTAATAAATGAATGCAAATAAATGAAATGACTTTCATGAGCTCAAAAAAAGTCAATATATTTTTTTAACGTGGTATAGCATTGAAAGCTTTCTATGTAATAGTTACAAATGGTGCTGCATTTTATTATTAACACAGTTAAATTTAGTTGGAACATGAAATCAGCTAATTGCAGATGCTTTAACTGCTTATATTTAATTGTATTCTGCTTTCACCTTTTTATTACAAAAAAAGAATAATTGTTTTGCAAATGCTAGTACTATAGAGGTACATGTGTTATCTTTAAAGCACCAGTACTACTTCATATATTTAAGCATCAGTATATTTATATACAGTTTTCAATTGAAATTTGTCTTGAGAATTTGCACTTTATTTTTGTGGTTTTACTGCTGCTTTAAGACAAAAATATTTACAGTTCTATCTTCTAATTGATTTAGAGAACTTGCTTGACATTTGCCCCTAAATCACATTAAAAGATACAGAGCAATTACAGCTTTATTTTGATGGCATCTAAGTTTGCTTCATGGCTTAAATGCATCTAACAGCTTTGACTAACCTTAACCCATATGTTCCTCCCACTTGTTACATTGGTGCTGCTAGAAAACCCCTGTGGATGAGACACTGGTGGAGGAGTCCATTGTGGATGAGTCCTTTGTGGATGAGCCTTTTCTGGAGGAGTACGTAACTGGCGAGGATTATGACTCAGAGAAAAAGCTGGTTGAGGAAACAGACTATGGGGTGAAAGCTGTAGAACCTACACCGACTGAGCCAGTGGTGGGAGGAGATTTAGGAAAAGATGAGTTGTATGATTATACAGACTATGAAGAGAAAGAAACAAACCCTACTGCAGAGGAGTTTGGACCTGGGGTTGCTGCCGAAACTGATGTCTCAGAGACCACCGTAAGTTACCAATAAAATCGTAATGAGATAAAAAAAACAGGAAAGTGTTAATAGAAATTATTGAGCTGGAATCCATTTCTCATTACCTCTCTGTACAAACACGTGATTCTTAAAATGTCTTAAATCTACACTTACTCTTGGGCATGTCAGCTGTGATTACATATGTGGCCTCTCTTCAATGCTGCTTTTAGAAAAAGAAGTGATTCATGAAGTGAATCTATTTTCAGGAAAACCCTTTTTTTGTTGATATTTTAAGGTAGGTTCTGTTGACCATAGACTGAAATACTTTAGTGGCTTACTAAGCAGACACTTGTTAGTCCAAGGATAAAGACCATTTGGCCTTTATTGTATTGTGTAACAATCTGATAAACAGCCTGCTGTTAATTATTTTTGCCAAATGGCAAGGGCCTCTTTTCTATCGTCAACATTACATTTGTAAAAAAAAACCCCAGCAAAAGGAATCAAGCAGCACTTTGAAATAAAATAATATATACCTACAGAATTCAAAATTGTCCACCTTCAGCATTCCTGTGTTTTCTGAACAAATGACAATAATTTTAAAACAGTGACGTCATTGCAAACTTTTTAGGTGCCAGTTAATAAAGTAAATTATTATTACTTTTCCACCAGTATTACCTATTTTAAAAATGTAAGTGTTGTTAAAAGGGTAATATACCAAATAGTAACTCCCAAGTCCCATAGACTGTAGGTGTGGAATATATATAAGTCAAGATCTGTCCCTCCTAAAAATCTGGGAAACCATATGTTTTGTGCTGGACAATCACCCGTGCAATAATTTTTAAATATGATGATTATTTTCGATACAGTTTTAGATTCATTCCATGCATAATGCCACACACGTGGCCTGCCATTAATTTCTATTTTGACAGTTGTTTTTTTCATCGCCACCTTAAAAAATTATCAAAAATCCAAGATAAGGTAAAAAAAAAACAGTTCCACCTATACATACTATCATAAATTAAAACAAATGTGCAATGGATAAACAAGGAATGCCCACTGTATCTGTTCAACATTCTTTTTCAGTAGAAGTGGAAATACCAATTACATCTGGTTTTATAAGAAAAAAAAAACCAGAAGGATACATTGTTAAGTCAGAAATCAATGCCTACTGGTACCTTTAAAATATATCTATCTGATGCTGTTCTATTAAATAACACTTATGTATTACGGATAATAAAACTATAGTAAGCCCACAGTTAAAACCCTCAGTTAAAGAAATTTTAATCTAAAAATTGAAACATCTTTTCATGAAATGTCTGTTGTTTTAAATGTTGAATGTATAGACTGTACAGTACTTTGATTAATTTTCTGCAGCATTTGCTATTTAAAGTACATTAAAATTAAATTTGCTGATATTTTAGGTAAATAACTATGGAGGATACGGCGAGAAGGGCCAGAAAGGAGAACCAGCTGTTATTGAACCAGTAAGTAATTTGCAATTCCCTCATGTCAATATCTGTGTATTTAATACTAGGTTCATCAGTTTGGATTTAATTTCCAAAACTTTAGAAGTCTGTGAATACATCAGTAAAGACAGTTTATTAGAGGAGAGCAACCTGATATGAAACTGTAACTTTGCTAAAGCTGAACTCAAGGTATAAGCTAGTACACCAATTTATAGGAGCTATTTTAACTGTCAAAAGATTTGTGCTTCTGTCCATGTATTCTACAATTTACTAAGCCTTGTCAGCCTTGGCTGGTGATCTGATTTTTCTGTACTACAGTTAAGCAACACAGCTGTCACCTCCCTGCCCCAGTCTATGACGGGACAGTGAAAGAGCAGCAACAGACTAATGAGGTAATCCTTTTGCACTCCCCTTTGTCAGTATAGTTTTTGCTAGTATGTGTTTGTGTATCAAAGCCTTATCAGCTTCTAGTACTGCTCCTTCCTTTCCCAGTCTGAGTGCTGCTGTACAGGGGATTACAAGAAACGGAAATCAAGTCAAAGTGAAGTATTTACACTGTATTAATATAGCTATATTTATTGATGCCTGAAGTTTAGTTCTAAAAGCAATATGCTGCATAGAGAAAACAGGCACTGTCCTTCCATTATCAGTTTTAAAGTCTTTGGTGTATTTTGGAAGGGCATATCACAAACCCAGGCATATGATATTACAATAACTAAGCAGAGAGTAACTACAGAACACTACAAAGAACTATACAACTGCCTACTAGATCAGTAGGTCATGAGATACAAGTAGCTGAAGTTAACAAAAATGTTGACTGTTGAAAGCTGAACTTTGATCTGCTCCCCCATCTCTGATTCTACCTATTGGTAAAATCATCTGTCACATTCAAGGGTCAATAGAGAAACTAGGGAGGCAAGAGAAGGTATTAAACAGAGTGCTTTTTTTTAAATAGGTCTATTCATACGCAACTAATTATGCTAGTGTGTGCTGTAAAATGCCTCCAGCATTGTTCCTGTTTTTTTCTTGCCGGAGGCTGCCATTTTGCTGAAGTACAGAGCCCCTGAGCAGCAGTAAATATTTAGATTGTCAGCACATTGTCCTCTAGTGGCTCTTATTTTCCACCCACACAAAAATAGAAAGCATTTAATCATGCACAGAGCAGGATGAGACAGTGTATTACTGGGTCTTAAACAGCATAGATGCTTATTTTTAATGTATTACATAGATATACCTTCAAAAGGGGCCAGCCTGTAGTGATCTAGCAGTACTTGATTTCCCAACTAAAATTCCACTTTAACCTCCCTAACGGTATTCCCGAGTGTAGCTCGGGGTAAAATGTCTGTACCAAAAGCGGTAACCCCGAGCTACACTCGGGCTTACCATTCGGCGCTGCATAGGGAGTCCCTACAGTACTTACCTTGTCCTTGGCTCCCACGATGTGTCCCCTGCAGCGTCCCCGGCCATCTCCTCCGGCGGATGCCGGCATCCGCCTCCTGTGTACCGGTCCCTGTGACGTCAGGACGTACGGGCGCCGCCGCCAGCGGGAAATTTGAAAATTTAAAAAAAATTTAATTTTTTTCAAAACGATTTTACATAGTAAAACATTGCTGTTTCAACCCATTTCACATACATTTTGTCCCTAGTGCTTTGTCCTGTCCCCTGTCTGCATTTTGATTGTTCTTTCTGCCTGGAAACTTAGAAAAGTCCATGGCGTCCAAAAAGTGTCCCTTTAGGTCAAAAGCGGGTTTAGATCAGCTAGAGAACAGCGATAGTAAATCAGAACTACTTGCAGAATTGAGTGATAATGATTCGTGGAGAAATTCGTCATCAGACACTGAAAACAATTTTGCGACTTTGCTCAGCGATGTGCGAACTTGGCGCTATATTTCAAATTTCAGTGTTTTTGGTTTGATTACATTATTGAATTAAATGTATGTTTTAGAATCTTGTTCAGACAGATTTCAGTGAGTTATTCCTAAAAATTACAGCCTTCAATAAAAAAACTACATATTTCCATGCAAAATAATGGTACCGCTTTCAGCACCAAAAATATGAAATAATCATACCGCTAGGGAGGTTAAGCATCACATTTCAGATCCATCATACTGAGCTGTTTCCATTATATAGATAATACAGATAGAGATCTGCAGCAGGAGCCCTATATGGAAGGAAATAACCAGCAACACTCATGTCCACTATTACTATAGTTAGCATATGTGTATAAGCTTTTACATTTAAAACATATGTAAAAATTAGTGATGACAATACACCACCAAATTTTGCTTTCATGTCTGGATGAATGGACCTATTAAAAGAAAGCACTAGACTTGATTGCTTTTAAAATATAAGTTATGTCAAGGTATATCTTCATCAGTCCATACATGGCTCAAGTGTAACATTTGGTAAATATAGTGAATGCAGATATTCTGCACCAGCAGTGACGGGATTTACAGAACTCTCACAATGATGGACAAAATTAAATTGTACATTATCTGTTCTGTGATTCTTACCCTGCTTGCGCCATCTGCTACCTATTACTCTCACATGACGTTGTTCAGCAAAGCAGTAATAACATTACTCTTTCTTTGCCTGGGCTTTCATTCTCAAGCTGTGCATCCTGACAACAAAATAGCTGACTTTTCTCTGTATAAATGAGCATTGTTGAATAAATACGAATCTGCTTTGATTTTGCCTCTTCTGGACTTGTAGAAATCCATAATGCTTACCAGTTATTTCTCAGTAAATACATAACAGGCCATTAATAAAAACAACTTAACCAGACATATCATTCAGCTCTCAATAATTTTGTATGAATCTTTTTTCTTGGCTTTCCACTGCCATAAGCACAAGTCACTTCTGAATAATTTTCCTGACACCAAGAGAAAAATAGTGACGGGGAGGGTACAGCTTGTGATTGACAGTCTCAGTTCTGTTACTGTGTGCAGTGCGAAGGGGTGTGTCCCTTCCCTCCAATCAGCTCTCAGAGCTCTCCTCGCTGATGTAACTTCAGCTCTCCACCCTCTGCTTCTCAGAGCTGGGAGATCCTGTGTAAATTCTGCACTTTGAATAAATATAGGGGAAAGATGGCAGCAGATAACAGGTACAGGTTATGTAGAAGGATTTTGTGTATCACCTGATGCCAGTGACCTCAATGGGTATATATAAGGGTTTACAACCACTTTAACTCTATATTCTTTTATTTTCCAGGGAATGCTTATTGAAGGACTCCCAGGACTGGAAGGACCAGCAGTACGTATCCATTCTCTTTTACTGATTTGCTAATTCTATTTCTATTAAAGGACAAATGTCATAACAAAAATGGAGAGGTTGCCATTACTTATTTCCTTTTGAACTTGCTTGTTGCCCGGCTGTCTCTGGCTTTGGTATGTTTCCTATCCAATGTACGATTGCTGACACAGAACTCCCGATATGGATACTTATCCCAAGTCAGTAATGTAGAAAACATTGACACCAGAGGGCCAGCATGACAGTTTGGCAACTAATATTTTTAGGAGATTAACAGTAGCAGCCCTCATATTTCTCCCATGACAGGTGTCCTTGGTGTACTGTGTTTATTGTGAACTTTAAGAGAGAGCACAGAAATAAATCACACCAGAAAGATAGAGAATTCAGTATATTTGGTATTCTGTTCACTTGCTGTATTGCAAGTTCAGTGTTCTATGAGATTTTATTGACCTATTGCAGCCATTTGGAAACCTCTAAATTCTGTTGATTTGACTCAATTTGTTTCATAACTTAGTTGGGTAATCTACAGGTGCATAAAGATTTGTTGCATGGTAAGTGGCCAGTTTGCCCAAACTGATAATCCCATTTTCACTACACACTGTAAAGACAAAAAGCTTTTTTACTTTTAGGCTGTAACTGGAAAACTTACCTCATGTATGCCTCTCTGTTGATATATAGTGGGATCTCTCACCAAACACAGAGCTGGCAACAAATATTACCAGAAGAAAAATGGCATTGTAACTTTAAATTAATAAATATTAGAAATGCTACAAGAAAGATACTGTATGCAGGGATTTATTTTAGGGATGAATTTACTAAAGGCAAATAGACTGTTCACTTTGCAAAGGAATTTTCTCCAATCATGTGCAAGCAAAAATGTTGTTTTTTTATTCTTCTTACACAGGGTTGGGTATTCTTTGCAAAGTGAAACTTCACCACATTCACTAAGGCCTGGGGTAAATTCCATTGTAAAATGCAACTTCCCTTGCAAAGTGAACAGCCTGTTTACCTTTATTAAATCAACCCCATTGCCTTCAGATATCTTCCTCATGATGTTGGATTTAACAATGCCATGAAAAAGTAGTGACACTGCTTTTCAGAACTGATTGGTGGTCTTTAGTCCACCCTCCAAAACCCAATGCTTTTCAGTGGATTTCCACCGATTTTCATCAGTGAAAGTCACTTTATTCTGAACATGGGATATATGGAACTGATGAAGGTCAAACAGCTCTTCAAGTGATATTGGCTTCATAGCTCCTCAGCTGTTTGTAAAGTGAATGGGTATGGTTTTGAGTGTTATTCTGAAAAATAAGAAACTTTCTCAAATCATTTTGATATGTCTTGTGTTTTCAGTTGTAAGGTTAAGGGTTAATCTGGAGAATGCAAAATCTGGTGCAGCTCTGCATAGAAACCAATGAGCTTCCAGATCTTATTGTCAAATCTTAATTGAACAAGCTGAACTTAGAAGCCGATTGACTACCACGCAGAGCTGCACCAGATTTTGCACACTCCAGTTTTAGTAAATCGATTCCTGTGTGTTCTTGAGTTACCAGATGAGCAGCACTGCTACAGCAGATATGACTGATTTCACTATGTGTGGGACTTTTTCCATATATCCAGGTCATGGTAGGGTTAGTATTAGTGCAATTCATTTGTTATTCCAACAAAGCACATCCAGTTGAATGTAGCTATCAGCTGAGCGGTTCCACTCTTACTGCTATTTTTTTAATCTATTCTTTTTCATGAAGAATAAAACAATCAGTGGGAGATACCCTAGTAGAAGGAATGAGACTCCAGAATGAGTGGTAACAAACTCAGGAATCCAGACTGCACTTTGCACTCATTTTTTTTTTTAATTGCTGTTTAACACATTAGGGTTCTAACACAATGACTGTCATTTAAAACACATGAATGTGGAAAATTCACCTGTAAAGAATGTTTGCTGAATGTCAGATTCACTGCTTTATAAATATACCCCATGTTAATTTACCATATGCAGGTATATCTGTTCTATGTATAACCTTTATCCTTCTTCTTCTAGGGTCTTACTGGTCCCCCTGGCTTGCAAGGCCCACCTGGCCCATCTGGAGACCCTGGTGAGAGAGTGAGTACCATACACAGTCAGCCTGTAATAAGCTAATTCATGTCTTTACATCAATAAAGTAATGTAGGGTTTAATTAGATAATGATCACTACAAATGATTTAGCAAACATTTCAGATAGTTTAATGTTTTTTAACTTTCTACATTTAAAGAGTGTTTTGTTGGTATCACTTATGTGGTCATTTTCCCTAGGGTCCACCTGGTCGTTCTGGATTACCCGGTGCTGATGGATTACCTGGACCTCCAGGCACCATGCTGATGTTGCCGGTGAGAAATAGGTTTTCTTTGATATTGTTCAATAATGTGCAGCTTTCACATAGCACACAGGGAATTAATTAAGCAATCACTGACCTTGTCAGGGTATATTTTGATACCCTATTGCAGAGATACAATGAAAGTTTCCTCATTGAAAATTTTGTTTTTCCCTTTATTGGATTAGGAGTTAAAAAGATAAGTGTGGACACATCCAACATTTCACGTATGTGTGCAAGAGAAGTTCAAAACCAGACATATCTATTTATCACACTGCAGCTAGAATCTGAAATCAGACTTGCAGACGGTGTGCCATTTTTTCAAATATTTAAAAAGGGCAAACTCTAAAAAGTGGGGGTAGGTGATCATAAAGTAAGTCTATTACTATGGAAATCTTTTGTCTGGTAAACCTGGACCATTATACCACATGCACATTAATGGAATGCTTAATTATTTGGCTGGAAATGCCCTTTAATTGTAGCTGCTCAAATACATTTATAAACTACAAATTGATGTTTATATAAACTTTTACAAACATTTCGAAACATTAAAATGTTTTAGCTTAATCAACACCTGTTTCTGCCATTACAAAAACACTTGTTTTACCTGGATTTGTTCTCGCTACATAAAGGATGCTTTGACTGGCTGGCAGGATTGGGTTCTAAGGAGCTTTTATACTGTTTACTTTTAACTGCTCCTTATATAGAATCTCCCAGAAGTGAATACACCCCTCATATTTTTGTAAATATTTGATTCTATCTTTTCATGTGACAACACCGAAGAAATGACACTTTGCTATAATGTAAAGTAGTGAGTGTACAACTTGTATAACAGTGCAAATTTGCTGTCCCCTCAAAATAGCTCAGCCATTAATAACACGCAGCCATTAATGTCTAAACCCCTGGAAACTAAAGTGAGTACACCCCTAAATGAAAATGTCCAAATTGGGCCCAAAGGTTCAATATTTTTTGTGGCCAACATTATTTTCCAGCACTGCCTTAAGCCTCTTGAGCATGGAGTTCACCAGAGCTTCACAGGTTGCCACTGGAGTCCTCTTCCACTTTTCCATGATGACATCATGGAGCTGGTGGATGTTAGAGACCTTGCGCTCTTCCACCTTCCATTTGAGGATGCCTCAGAGATGCTCAATAGGGTTTAGGTTTGGAGACATGCTTGGCCAGTCTATCTCCTTTACCCTCAGCTTCTTTACCAAGGCAGTGGTCATCTTGGAGGTGTGTTTGGGGTCATTATAATATTGGAATACTGCCCTGTGGCCCAGTCTCTGAAGGGAGGGAATCATGCTCTGCTTCAGTATGCCTCTGTACATGTTGGTATTCATAATTCCCTCAATGAACTGTAGCTCCCCAGTGCTGGCAGCACTCATGCAGCCCCATACCCCATGACACTCCCAACACCATGATTAACTGTAGGCAAGACATGATTGTCTTTGTCTCCTCACCTGGTTGCCACCACACACGCTTGACACCATCTGAACCAAATAAGTTTATCTTGGTCTCATCAGACCACAGGACATGGTTCCAGTAATCCATGTCCTTAGTCTGCTTTTCTTCAGCAAACTGTTTGCGGGCTTCCTTTTGGGATGACAGCCATACAGGCCACTTTGATGCAGTATGTGGTGTATGGTCTGAGCACTGACAGCATGACCCCTCACCCCTTCAAACTTTGCAGCAATGCTGGCAGCACTCATGTGTCTATTTCTCAAAGACAACCTCTGGATATGACGCTGAGCATGTTCACTCAATTTCTTTGGTCGACCATAGCGAGCCCTGTTCTGAGTGGAACCTGTCCTGTTAAACCGCTGTATGGTCTTGGCCACCGTACTGCAGCTCAGTTTCAGGGTCTTGGCAATATTCTTATAGCCTAAGTCATCTTTATGAAGAGCAAAAATTCTTTTTTTCAGATCCTCAGAGAGTGAAAGCGATAACACCAAATTTAACACACCTGCTCCCCATTCACACCTGCGACCTTGTAACACTAATGAGTCACATGACACCAGGGAGGGAAAATGGCTAATTGGGCCCAATTTGGACATTTTCACTTAGGGGTGTACTCACTTTTGTTGCCAGCTCTTTAGACATTAATTGCTGTGTGTTGAGTTATTTTGAGGGAACAGCAAATTTATACTGTTATACAAGTTGTACGCTCACTAATTTACATTGTAGCAAAGTGTCATTTCTTCAGTGTTGTCACATGAAAAGATAGAATAAAATATTTACAAAAATGTGAGAGGTGTACTCACTTCTGTGAGATACTGTATATTAGGGACTTTTCTTATTATGAAGCCTTAATAGACTTGGTAATCTGGGAATTGTATACTAACCAATTTATAAACTGCAGGTACTATATACATATCAAAGGAATCACTATATATTAGGAATATAATGTATACTGTTAGTATACCATGGGGCAGCTCAGGTTTCCTTATGAAAGCATTATAGCTACATACAAAGGCAAATTAGACTGGGCGTGCATTATTCTTTACTTACTGGACATACACAGATTTCAATATCTAATGTTGCTTGAGATATATAAATATATATATATATATATATATATATATATATACACACTCTATAGCCACTTTATTAGGTACACCTTGCTAGTGCAAAGAAAATATCCCCCACACCATTACACCACAAGCCTGAACCGTTGATATAAGAGATGGTATTCTGCATACCTTGGTTGTAATGAGTGGTTTTTTGAGTTACTGTTGCCTTTCTATCAACTCAAACCAGTCTGCCCATTCTTCTCTGACCTCTGACATCAACAAGGCGTTTTCGTCCACATAACGATGGTTGTGCGTGAAAATCCCAGTAGATCAGCAGTTTTTTAAATACTCAGACCAGCCCGTCTGGCACCAAAAACCATGCCACGTTCAAAAATCACATAATTCCCCTTTCTTCCCCATTCTGATGATTGGTTTGAACTTCAGCAAGTCATCTTCACCACGTCTAGATGCCTAAATGCATTGAGTTTCTGCCATGTGATTAGCTGGTTTGCAATTTGTGTTACCAAGCTATTGAACAGGTGTACCTAATAAAGTGGCTGGTGAGTATATATATTTATATATATATTCACCGTGTATATTACATTTACCTTCTGTATTTATTGTATTTCAGTTTCGGTATTCAAGTGATGGAGAAAAAGGACCACCTATCTCAGCACAAGAAGCCCAAGCTCAAGCCATCCTTCAACAAGCTCGTGTAAGTAATTAGAAAATATGGTCAGGTTGCTTCCTTCCTTTTTTAATAAGAAGATGTGGAATGCATTGCAGCTAGTGTAACTAAATTCCCACAACTGAATATATAGTGTACTGAAACTGTTTATTTTGCCACTGGAAACTATACATGAGTCAGGCATGCTATTGGCACAAAGTTTTTCAGAGAAGGATAGGATGAGTACACAGAATAGGGATTTATTTGTGTTAGGTCTTAGTCTAGGCCAGGGAATATAGTCATTTAGTGTTAGGTTTAGTAGTTATGTGTTTAGGACATTAAGTGTTGGGGATGGTGGGGTTTTTAGTAATAGGGTCTTGTTTTGGCAGGTAGGTTAGGTTAGCTGTTCAGTTTTCCAGAAGGTGAGTGTTAAGTAGATCTTAAACTCAATCACTAAAATGTCATATAAACTATAAAAACTACAGTCATTTCAAAGGTTGTTTTCCATCTTAAATCTGCAACCTTTGTGAAAATGATACCTGAATTTCCTTGTTCAGACATTTCCTGTATGAGGTGAAAACTGTCTTCCAATTTTGTGGGTTGTCACCCTCTCACATGCTCCTCAGATGGAGACTATGAGTGGTTGTGCCAACACCCATTGCACAGTCATGGTCCACTGTTGTCACTATCAGGATACCAGTCCAGATCAATGATGTGACGCTGACAAAGAGAGAGTAGACAGTAAGTAAAAGAGGCTGAAAGAGATCAGCAGCACTGAGATTCATAAAAATAAAAATAGTATTTTGAGGAAAAAAACAAGACAATTGATACTAAATGTTTATGCAAACTTAATGTCACCTAGTTAAGGTTTAGATCTACTTTAGGTTTTACTTAGAAAAATAATAGACAGCTACAGTATACTATACACAATACACTATTTCTCAGCAATGGGCTCTCATCAGCAATAACAAACATATTAATAGTGTACATGTATTCTTAACATTACCTTATTTCATGTCTGCATATGTACATATTTGGAGCTGATGCACAAATGCTGAGGTGGAAGTAAAGGCTGACCTTTTATAACCCAAGCAGATTCCAGCTGTCAGTTGTCTATGGAAGTTTAGCATATTAAAGCAAGCATTAAAATATTTGAGGGTATTTTTATTTAGAAATATTCTGAAACATATTTAGATTTAATATTTATATTTAAAGGGTTTAACATGCTACTGTATCTAGTTAAAAGCTCATTTGTTAATCATTTTGATCTAATTAATAACATTGAATTAACTAGCACCATGTGTACATCATTTTCTTATTTTCATGGAAGGGAATACATTTTAATGTTTTTTTTTTTTTATGGTTATTTTGCAGATTGCCATGAGGGGACCTCCAGGCCCAATGGGTCTCACTGGAAGATCTGGCCCAGTGGTATGTAGCCCTTACTAGAGTTATACCCACCACCAAGTAATGCTTTTTCTCTGTGTTTTATCTAAAAGTGAATGTTTTAGTGTCTGTCATCTAAATGATATGTCTATTATTACATATTTGCAACTAGAGATGTCATAGCCAATCTACATGGGAGGTATTGTAAGAGGACATTATTTAACCACTTCAATACCAAGCACCTATACCCCCTTTCTGCCCAGGCCAATTTTCAGCTTTCAGCCCTGTCGCACTTTAAATGACAATTACGCAGTCATGCAACACTGTACCCATATGAAAATTTTTATTAGTTTTTTTACACAAATAGAGCTTTCTTTAGGTGGGATTTAATCACCACTAAGTTTTTTTATTTTTTGCTAAATAAAACAAAAAACACCTGAAACTTTTGAAAAAAAAAATGCACTTTTCTTCATTTCTGTTATAAAAGTTTGCAAATAAATAACATTTCTTCATAAATTCTGCGTCATTTCTTTGGTGAAAATAATGATAATAATAATAATAATAATTGAATTTGTATTTTTTTTTCAAATGTTTCTATTATTTTTTTATTCTTTATTTTATTTTTAATTTTTTTTACTATTTTATTTTTCAGCACACTGTGACCAAAGCAGTACAATGTTACCATAGTAACTTTGAACTACTCTGGGCAAGTGATCAGGATTTTTTTTATTAACACATTATGATTGCCAATACCAATGTATATCATTGATATTTGCAATCATTGTTACTGAATAAAACTGATTCATTCAGTCTTTTGTTGTGATTAGCTGTGATTGGGCAAATCTGGTCACATGATACAGAGGGGCTGTGATTGCCCCTGTCTGTATCATGTGACTGCCTTGACCAATCACAGCTAACAACATAATTGTATACAATGGATGGCATGACAGGAAGGCATCCATTGTATACAATTGACATGTGATCTGCTGTGATTGGTCAAAGCAGTCACATGACACTGGCAACGGCTGGTGTAGTGATGTCATCTGCTGTGTCCCATGGACACAGCCAGTGACGGATTCCGCTGCTGCATGGCCCTGCGGCTGCATGAGCGGCTCATTTTGAAAGGATGTCATATGATGCCCAGTCACAACGGCGAGTGTCCCGCCCAGCCATCAACCTGCTATAGTCCGGGCGGGAAGGTGTTAAATAATAGCCTGGCGCCCAACTTTCTTATCAGGCCATTACTGAAGGGCACTTAGGTTTTCCAACTTCTAATGTACATTCAGGGGGAGTTGATATGATTATTTGAATAGTGGAGACTTTCAGTGAAAACTAACACTAAAAAATACCCAAACCCCCTTTCTTTATTTTACAACTGTAATAAAAACACTAACAATAAATCCATGGGGTTAGATTATTTAGTATTAAAATTCACAGGCCAAATCCCCCATGACTTCCAGAATGAGTGAATGCCAATTATATTGTGTAAGCAAGGGGCCATTGACTTTCAAACACGGTAGGGTAATTCATTAATTTAGTAAAAAAAGAATTGAAAATGCGTAGCTTTTGTTTTTCTTTTAGTCTGGTTTCACAAATGTGCAGGGCTGGGTTGCAGTGCAATTTTAAGCCCTGTCCGGTGCAACTTTGTTCAGTGGTTCAGAATTGATGCCGCTGCAAATTGTTAAAGTGTATGACATTGGAGATCGCACCTGAACCAAAGCTGACAATTGTACCAGTCTCTTTTTGAAATCGCACTGTGGCCAGCCAACACATATGTGAACCAGCTCAATAGAAAATCCTTTTCGTTCACATGTCATGTGAATCGGATCCAATTCAAAATGCATCCAATTCACATATATGTGAACCAAGACTTAGAGCATTAAAGAATTGTTTTATCAAAGACTGAACAAATAATTCAAATGCCAAAACTAGCAACATGTTGGGGTTGATCTGGTGCAGCTGTGCATGGTAGCCATTCAGCATCTAACTTCAGTTTGTTCAATTAAAGGGGTAGTAAACTCTCAAAGTTAAATTTTACTCATTTAAATAATCAATACATGCTGTACAATTCACGGTCTTTAGATGACTTCTATCCTTCTAACTTTTCTTGCAATCCATCACTGTATACTTTTATGATATCACCGGCACATGCGCATAATGTCCCTTGTTTACGGCACGCTTCTCGTGCCCTTAGTCCTTGCATTAACATGCCGTGTCTTGATCACGTCCTCTCTGTGGCATTCCTGTGAGAGCACAGGCCCATTTGTGAATTTTGCTATGCTGGACAGGGTTGCAATAGTAATCACAATGAAAACAAGGCTTGGCTACAAACTCACTATGCATGCGCAAGATTATGGCAGGGAGAAACAGAAAGGGCGGAAGCCCAAAGTGCTGCAGACAGAGAAGACAATATTTAGTATGGCGTTAGCTTTGGACAGGGAGGAAAAAATTGCAAACTGCACTATAAACAAGTAAGAGGTATCACAAGGAGTCACTGACTGGGCAGAATGTAGTAGAAAGCTTGCACATACTGGCTGCATTGATATGGAGAGTTTGAGGGGCAGTTTTCACAAATCCTTAGATTTGGTGGCTGCATTCATTTTCTTTTTAGGCTTTTTTTCCCTTTAAGCTTTGATTGGTTTCTTTGAATAGCTGCACCACATTTTGCACTCTCCAATTTTAGTAAATCAACCCATTTGTGTTTATTCACGACATAGATATCCCTTTAAAGTCTATGCACAGACTTAAACATGCATACAGATTTGCCATCATTTGGATTATTTTGTTTTGCTTATTAGCCTATTAACTCTTAAGAGAATATATTCCAAAGTTTTAATAGGCCTTTCTTCATCAAAACAAAATATATACTTTTTGGAGCTTTCTCTTTTTACGAAAGAATGTTATTGATTGCGGTTGTTAAATGTGAAATCACTATTTTTTAGGTTGTTTAATTACCACTTTGGGTAAACCACATGCAGCATTGCATATTTTATTTGCGAGAAACTCTTGTATTGAAAACAATTCCATGATCCATTAAAGCATGGATGTGTGGACAACATTGATTGCAGCTAGAGCATTATGATTACACATTTTGTCTAATGAAGTTTATGAGCTGCAAAGAAATGAAACAAGCAACCCAGCACTTAAAAAGCACACTGATATATGTAATGGGTATAGTTTAGCAAAACTTTAGATGCTAAAATGGAAGGCTATATATTTGATTAAACTTTGGGAAACTAACAGACTGTGTAAAATAGTTTTTTTATGGAGTACATAATATTAAAACAATTTGGTTATAGCTTAAAAAGTGTAACTCCACCTAAACATAGCTTGCATTTTGATATCAGGCTGTCCTAGGCATAGCTGAATAATGACAGCCTTTTGTAAAAGCATAGGGAGAAGCATGCTGTTTTTTTTTTTACATTCACATCTACCCTATGATACACTTATTTATATATTTAATTTTTGAATTTAGCCATAAGGGTCCAATCACCCCACAATGCTCATGCTCTTTTGTGCTTACAGATGTGTTACATTAGGTATTCATATTGAATAGTCTGGTAATGCATTTCAATGCAAATAGGCCCTAATTTCAATAGCAATGTACCCCAACACAGTCTTTGCATCCCTATGACTAAGCCCAAGCCCGACTAAGGCTGAGGCTAAGGCCGCTTCATGTTGTTCGTTCACCTGGGCTGGTAAGGAGTAGCAGACATCCTTTCCTCTTTACACTTACTAGCCCTGTGTGTTATCGTGTGCTATAGTGAAAATGGTCTGCAGCCCATTGTATATGTGCATTTAACAATGAATGGCAATGCATCACAACACACAGAAACATATGTTAAAATATGCTTATAACATGCATTTTGTACTTAGCAGTATTAACCAAAAAAACAAAAATGTAATATATGGCAGATTACCAATCCTTAGATTTGGTGGCTGCATTCATTTTCTTTTTAGGCTTTTTTTTCCCTTTATTAATTTATTTTTTTATTTATTTCACCTGATGATCCAGTCAGTGACACACTTCCTGTCTTAAGGTGTCTGCATTCTGGATGAAGTAGTAAAGCAGATACCTCTGGACAGCAGCATTGTCAGTCTGGGGGGAGAAGGTAGTGTTACACCAGTAGATTTAGATGGACCAGACTAACAAATTGAAGCTGAACTCCAGCTAACACTTGATAAGCAGCTACAGTTTTTTTTTTTTCCTTTTGGGATAAAGCTTTTAAATAAATGAATAAAAGCTGACCATTGTAAGCACCACTGTCAGTGGTAAATGGTTTGACTCAACTCTCTAACTGCTACTTTGTCTGGATAGCTTGATCTGTTAAAGTAAGTTGAAAAAGAAAAGACTTACTGACCATATCACAAAGTTAAAATAAAGGAAAAAAGGCTAACAAAGAACACATATGCAGCTACCTCCTCTAAGAATTGGTGAGCTGAAATTAATGTTTTTTGTTTTGGGGTTTATTACCACTTTAAATGTCCACAGGCATCCAGAAGATAGAAACAATGTAAGAAAAAGAGAGAATGATCAGGTTTAGGAGGACATACCTTTATGGTGCCCACACACAGGAGACAAATGCTGTTTACATGATCTCTCTATCCTAGAGTCACAAACTGCCTATTTGTTAATGTTAGTGAATATTGTAGACATCCTTGCCAACACCCTGTAAATACCAGGGAGTCATCCTGTTTTTATGCCCGACTTACCATGTAATCCTGCATGAAATATCTCTCGATTCCTTTCATTTACCAGATATCTTACAACTTGCGTAGTTGTCAGGTTCTGTTTAAAATGCTTCTAAAATGGAGAGTTTAATTCCATTCTTTTGAATGCTGAAATTCTCATCTTTATATTTTAGTGTGTTTTGATAAATTATTTTAGCGGTGTTTTATGGCCACAGAATTAGGTTGAAACACATGTAAAATACCTTACTTGTGCATTACTATCATACATTTTAAATGCAAAAAAAAAAAATGAGTAAAGGAAACCTCTACCACTAAAATGAAATGCAAGTATAACACATCATCACACATCATCATAAAAAGGCATCAAACACTTTATATACACATGTACATTGCAGCAAAGCCAAGACTTACAGTATGTAAGATGCCCATAAAGTGCAGATTTAAAAGTTGATCAAAATGCATATTTTTTTCTCAAAGCAGAAGTGCACATTCATCCTAAGCATGAGGGGTTGAAACAGAACTGATGACTGTTTTTGGGAGACCTCTCTGCTGAAGTCCCCATTTTGAAAAAAATAAATGTTTTTTCTTAGTTTTTGTTATAAAATGTTGTAAATAAGTGATTTTTCTCCTTCACTGATGTGCGCTAATGAGGCTGCAGTGATGGGCACTGATAGGCTGCACTGATGGGCACTGATAGGCGGCACAGACTGGGACTGTTAGGTGGCACTGACTGGCACTGTTAGGTGGCACTGATAGGCAGCACTGATGAGCACTGATAGGCGGCACTGATGCACACTGATAGGCGGCACTGACTGGCACTGATAGGCGGCACTGACAGGCGCTAAGAGGTGGCGCTGATTGGCAGCACTGATAGGTGGCAATGACTGGCATTGATAGGTGGCACTCACTTGCACTGATAGGTGACACTGAAAGGCAGCTCAGATGGGCACTGATATGAGGCATTGATGTGCACTGGTAGGCACTGATATGTGGCATTGATCAGGCACTGATGGGCACTGGCAGGTGGCATTGATGAGCACTGACAGCTGGCATTGATGGACACTGACAGGTGGCACTGCTGGGGCTACACTGATCATCAGTGCCCTGATGATCAGTGTACATGTCCCCTCTGAGGAATGCTGATTACCGGCTCTCCTCTCCTCTCGAGCTGTCAGTGTGACAGTTTGTGAGGAGAGAAATGCCGATAACCGGCATTTCCCTATTTATATGCGATCAGCTGTGATTGGACACAGCTGATCACATGACCGAGCTGACATCTTCCTGCTTTTTTCCAATGATCGGTGATCCGCTGTGTCCGAGGGACACAGCGCACCACGGATCGCCACGCTGCGCTCTCCTGGAGCCGCGCACACGCGGTTAGGGTAGGAGGTCATCATATAACATTCTCCCAGAATGAGAGAACCACCTTGCACCCATCATTTCCTTATATGGCAGGCGGGAGGTGGTTAAGGACAACTGACCTTTATTGTATACCTGTATGTAGTGTAATTTACATGCACTGGAAAGCAAAACCCCACTTGATTCTATTGGCAATTATTAATACATATTGCCATCTTAAACTATTAGCTCGACATAACCTAACAACTGTTCTGCCAATAAGCTATACAAAATATCACATTATATTACAGGAGTCTTTCAGCTGCCAGTTGTGAATGTACAGCAAAGCAGGGTACATAAGCTGATGACTAATTTCTGCACAGCATGACTTTAGTACTATGAGCTGTCATACCTGAGAACCTGCCAACTTTTGTTTTTCATTTAGGTTACTGGCTTTTGGGGTGTCAGGCTCAGTTCCGTAGGGAAGAGCAAAGACAAGGATAACTGCTGGAGGAAGGATTCTGCTCTCTCTTACCTCCAAGCCTACTGTGTATGGAGAAGAACAGTGAGAGAAGCCCTTGGCCATTGCTAAGATCTGACCCCCTCAAAGCACAACTGCTGTTAAGTGAGGTTGGAGTGCCCTTCTTCCTGTATCCCCTTGCCATGTGACATAGCACTTGACCAGAGACTGGAAAAGAATGCCTTCAATCTCAGGCAGGCACCTCACTAAAAAGGAGGTCTAAAGTTTAAATGCGCAGAAGTTGGGGGGCGCAGAGCTCCCCTCTCCCCCTCAAAGTTCCAATGAGACTCTTAGCCACCCTACCTCTCACAAAGCCCTTAACTCCCCCCCCCCCTTTACTTTCCCAAGAGCCACACAGAGCCCCTAATTTCAATGAAACCCACAGAACTCCCTTTCCATTTCACAGCCTCACAGCCATTGGCAACAATTTAGTGCATTCTGTAACCATTACATGCCTTTTGTCATGGTGTGCTGCTATAAACTCCTCTCCCTGCCCCACCCCTATCAGGCTGTTAAAAACATGCCTGGGTATGTGTACTATACCTCAACTGTTGAATGCATGCAAATGGTACAAACAATAAAGTACTGTACTAGATAATTGACTTAATCCTGATCAGTTGTGTGAATATTCACTTCAGTTATCCAGTGATGTGCAGATGGAATAGGTAAACTGGGATTTCCTTTTCTAATGACTGTATAATTTAGGTGAATCTTTACGCATTTTATTGTCTGAGTATTCTTAAACCCTTTAGTAAATCACTATCATTTTTCTAGACAGGGATTCTGGGAGGCTGAAACAACATTTTATTACTGATACCTATTGGGGGGAGGTCTCAGTGGTGAGGTCTTTTTGTTTGGGCTTCAATCTTTGCCTAATACAACCATTTAAATAATAATTTCAGTTACTGCATTTTTTAAATAGTTACATTGGTGCAGCTTGGATCAATGTAACTATGCATATATCATGCCTGTGGGACCCCTCTAGCAGCAGGAAATCACTCTAGTAGACACCACTACTCCAATGATCTCTACTTGCTTCTGAGTCCCATGCTGGGTGGCTGCCCTGCTGCATTCTGAATATAGGGAGGTGGCCTCTTGGCATGGGTGCTATTCCGCTTCTTTCACACAGAGAATGCTTTGGAGTCATTCAGAAAATGCAAAGAATTCTTGTTTTCTCAGTGCAGCAGAGCAACCACTTGGCAGGAGACCCAGAGCTAGTGGAGATCACTGGAGTAGTGGTGTCTACTTCAGTGATTTCCTGCTTCTATAGGGATCCCACAGATATGGTATATGCATAGTTACATTGGTCCAAGAGGGACCAATGCAATCTATATAAAAAATGTCATACCTGGAATTCTCCTACCATTGCAGAAGAAATTTCTTTCTGCTTTTTTTTTCTCCCTAATATAAAGTAAAAGAAATATATACCGATATAGTAAGATATCCTATCATGAAGACTGCAGCTAGTAGGTCAAGTCGGGACCTCAAGTAAGGAGATCTTTTTAGGATGATACATATGCTGATGATTCAACCTGACAGCATTTGTTTAAAGCCATTCCATGACTACCACTAGCAAAAAAAATAAATTTTCCTTGGTCAGTAGGCATCTGCTATTGCCACATCATTTTACCTTATATTGTTATAGAGCACGTATAGCAGGTCGATAACCTTGAAGTACAGACATTAGAAAACAGTAGTCTTCTTGACACAGAGAGAACAGCTTGCATGACAGTAAATAAATGTTCTATAGCTGTTGGTGCATTAAAGAGGCGTGAGGGGTTTTGGATATTAGTTCTGCAGTTTTACTGCCTCTAGCTGCCAGAATATGGGATATTAATGCATGTTTTATAAACCTGTGTGAATCCCTATGTGAGCCGTTTAGCTCTTGTACCACAAGGAGGCTGTAGAAGTCCAGTTATTTTATTAGATAAGAACACAAAGAAAGCCTCAGCAACTGCATTATTTTGGGAACAATGTGGGTGTGCATTAAGCAATACATTTAAAGTTTCTAATCTATGCCCATATTGCAGAAATATTATATATTGTTTATGAATATTAAACACTGAATGTTTCCAGCAAATGTAGGAAAGTTGTTTTTATTGCTTACAATAAACCCCTGGTGGATTTTTTTGAGCATAAGAAGATGCTGTGTCACTGTGTACAATAACAGGAAGGAAAAACCTAAAGAAAAATTGAAGCAACCTAAATGTGGATGTTTTACCTTTTGCAACCCAAATCAGTATTTTCCATTACAGTATACAAGGATGGGCACTAGTATCTAAATTATCGTGAACAGCAACAAGATATATATTTTTTTATTTCTAATTTTTAAGACCACTCACTATATTCAATAAAATATATAATAAGAAAAGTGAAAAAGGCACTAACCCATGGCAACCAATAGGATGTGACTTTGTTGATATCCTACCTGAACAAGATGGATTATGATAGGCACTACATAATTTGCTTTCTTTTAACACAACTTTACCGAGTAATATATATATATATATATATATATATATATATATATATATATATATAAACTAATTTCATTGGTGCATGATTGGATAATTTAACGGAATAATAAATATACATGACTGGATAGTTTAACTTAATATTATTAATACATTGTGTGAACGTTTTCAAATAATTTAGTAAATCAGCCTCAGTGCCTTTCCATGTAGCATCATGCCTTCACCTAGATCTGTGGCCGTGAATAGTGATAAGCGAGTTTTGAAAACCAGCCAATTCCACATACTGCAGTTTTTTTGAACATTTGTCCAGCCTACAGAAATTAATACAATCCATGACTTAAAATTTTTAAGATTGTCTGTGTTTTTTCAATTGACCAGATTGATATAGGACAACCAAAAAAGGCTCTCCTTCATTCACCCCAGAAAACTGTGCTGTAAGAAGTCTGTGGGAATAGATGAAAGGTATCCAGCCATAAACAGATAGTCACATAAAATGTGAGATAGTCTGGAAAGGAATAAGGAAATATATATGTTTTTTTCCAGTACAAATCATTCATATATACAGTAATAGCATTTGTTTGCCCTTGCCCACAGAACTTAGGTAGGAGCGAAAAACATAAACCAAGAATGCGTATGTCCTTTTTTTTTTTGTTTGTTTTCAAATTTCTAACCATCAGTACATACCTTTGGTCTAGCAATTAGAAGACGTGATGGGGCTTGTTTCAGCAGCAGCCAAGAAGTGCAGCTCAGGTTATACACTGGCTTAATTTCTGTCTTCATATGCTTCTGACTGATGGACTGGATAAGTCACTGGAGCGCCACATATAGTACATGCAAGGCTGCACTTACCTTAAAAGCGCTCGTAGGTGCATGCCTAGGGCAGCAGGATTAGAGAAGGCATTGCTAAGCATCAAAGTATACCAAATAGTATAAATATTATTATTATTAATATACAGGATTTATATAGCGCCAACACTTTGCTCAGCGCTTTACAATATAACGGGAGACAATACAGCAACAATACAGTTCAATATAAGAGGGATAGGAGGGCCCTGCTCCTTGGAGGTTACAAGCTAGGAGATTTTTATTTCATTACTATGTTTTCTTTTTCTTCTGGACCCTCTGAACATTTGTGTCTAAATTCAGCTGCAGACCTGTAATAGTAAAGAGATATTAGGAGTAGTTGGAAGACTCACTATAGATTACAACAGACACAGCCATCTTTCTTTTGTTTTGTTTGTTGGTCTGTATAAAAATAGAAGCTGTGACTATAAAGCAAAGAGCATGCTTAAAGTGAAAGAAAAGCCTAATTATAACTGATGTTCCCTACTCCATCCTCCTATGTATCCCGCTTACCCTGCATAAAAAAAGATTTGTGTTCTTACCTATTTTTAATTCTATCCAGCCCGGTTACTTGATTCTCGGGCTTTCCTGTGTAGGGGAGTGCTCGACAATGTCTGTGAATTCCCAGAGCCATGACATCACCAATAGGCTCCCATGTCAGAACTTCCTCATCTCCCCTGCAGAATCTTTTTTATACAGGGTGTAGCGCCACCTCAGGGGCTTCTGGAAATAGCTAGTTCTTCCCTAATAGTTCAGAGGCTCCCCACCACCACCACAAGCATCAGTCCACGCATCCTGACTCCAGTAACTCAGTCTAGGGGATGTCTTATTGAAAGTAATTGCTTGCAGAGCTATAAACAGGAGAGGTGTTAGGGCACAGGATACTCCACTGAATTATTTGAGGACACTTCTCTAGGCTCCCATTCCAGGATTCTGCTGAGGATAGGGGAATGTATAGTACTAAGAGACCCTGTGAGAGCTGTTTCAGTCCACAGCTACCTCTGGTACTTGCATCCCAAAAGTGCACAGTCATCAGGGACTGAAATTCAGGGTCAGTACTCACTCAAGTCCCCAAGACAGATGCACACATTCCAATTTCCTCTGGACACAGTCCAATGAGAGAAACAATCCTTTTTCAGACCCGATCCCTTATGGTGAAGTCCCACAGCCAGCTCTTTAGAAGGCCCTCTGCTCTGACATCGTTGAGGCCGCAAAAACAGCTACACCAACACAGGCTACCTCAGTGGGGCAGCACCCTCTCCCTCCCATCCCCATAGGCTTGGAACCCCATGAGGGCTTCAAACTATTTATCACCTACACAGCCACCTTCTGGTCACTCCTCTTTAGGGATTGACCAGGGTATGATAAATATTCAGGCTGGTCATTTGAATCTCTTCCAGAGGCAGGGGAAGTAATCAAACTTGCAACTTGTGAAGTTCTGAGCACACTAGAACAAACAATCACTGCTTTCTTGATTACAGAAGGGGCCAAAAAACTAAACTTGCCTAGCATCCTAACGCTAGAGTGCTACACAGGGTAGGCAGGATTGGTAGATGGATGGGGGTGGGAACATTTTTAAGAATAGTTATAGTTTGGATTTTCTTTAGATTTTCTTCCACTTTAACGCAATTCTAGCATTCATTTTTACTTAAGTATTTGCATGACACCATGCTTGCGCCAAAAGAACATTATTATCCAGGGGTGCTTATGGCACCATGATGTCAAAATACATCCCTGAGTATGTGGTTTTCTGAGGCGCTTCCTACTTTTCATTCTCACTGTACGAAATGTTCAGTATGAATGTGAAGAAAAGGCTTGAAGCTTCTAGGAAAGTGTACCACCATTTATGTATATATCTATCCATAGCAGCATCATCTTTAAATATGGTCCTGAAAGTAAACCCCAAAACCCTCATTATTGTTTCTCAGTGCTTCCGTATAGTCAGATAAGTTGATTTAAATGTAAACTCCAGGAATAGCAAATTGTATCTAAATATGACAGGCATGTGCAGGGGCGAACTGACCATTTGGGCACTTGGGCACTGCCCTAGGGCCCAGGGTCAGTAGGGGGCAACCATGAGATGCCCCTAGTACCTTTCATAGGCTTTTTTGGGTGTGGTTTGAGTGTGGGTGAGGACATAGGGGCCTCATGATCCCATATTGCCCGGGGGCCCCATCAGTTTTCAGTCCACCCCTGGGCATGTGTAATCTTGAATCTTGGAGTGCTTTGTGTATTTCTTCCACATCTCTGCTATACTTCAGCATAAAATATTGCCTCTGTACACAAGCTTCCTGGCACACAGTCCAGTCACTGCTGCTCTTGCTAATTCTGCAGGGTGACTGGTCTTGTATATGCCCTTCCTGTTTTTCTGCAGATTGGGCCTGCTGCCTCCCTCGCACAGTTTTGCTGTCTGTGCAGGCTTTGTGCAAGCACTGTAATGATGTAATTGTTACTTTTGTATAGTAATACTTAGGTTTGCAGAGGGGATTGTTGCACATTAAGTGGATTTGTATCCTTTGTAGATACTGAGGAATATATTTAAATGAAAGTTTTCATGTCCAAAGTTTAGCTTTAAGCTCACAGAATCTTTGGCCCTTTCCAATAACAACCTCCTGGACTTTCTGCAGCCCCTTTTCTCTGGCTACATATAGACAACAGTCCCATATATGTCAACCAGACAAAAAATACATAATTCACTTTAGTATTGTATATGTGAATGGTAATTGGCCGTCACTTTTTCAGTTTACTTTGTTGTTTATTATATTGAATGCTTTTGTCTGTGTAAACAAAAGATGCTTCCAAAGTAACGTGTCCAAATAGACCTTGAACATATCATGTATTCATATATGAATGCCTTCAGGCTGCACAGGATACATTCCAGATGCAGCACTCCTTTGAGTTAAAGGCGGATGTCAAGTCCACTGAGATGTAGTACATTGTGCTACTTCTGTTACCGCAGCTGCAAATGTCTGTCTATAGCCCCTGAGGGATTGTACTCTACAGTCTTCTCATGTATTGTACTAGCTATGACCAAACCAAACGTATAAAAGGACTGTACACTTTGTACGTGTAGTATTTTCATAAGCAGATAACAACATTCCATCTTTTAAGGTATGCTGATATTAAGTGTTTACCATAGTAAGGCTGACAGATAAGTAGCACTATTACAGAAGCATTATAAAAATGTTAGAAAGGACTTTTGATCAAGGGCCTCTACTTTGACTAACAGCGAAAAAGTCAGCAATATTTATTGGATAAATACAATGAAACTGTCAGCTATTTTTAGTGGATAAATACATTGAAACTGTCAGCTATTTTTAGTGGATAAATACATTGAAACTGTCAGCTATTTTTAGTGGATATGAAAACATTTACCTATTAGTAATGTTTTACAATGTACATCAAATTTACTTTTTTTCTTTCTTTCTTCATTGATTCTATGAGGACATTTTAAATACGGATCTGTAACCACTGAAAGGAGCAACAATCTCTGTATTAGAGTACAACATATTATTACAAGATCAGCCATGCAGAGAGTATATTGTTTCAGTAAAAGTCTATCAGTAGAGCTCTTCCCTTATTTTAAGGCAATTTGCAGGCAATTTCAACTCCTCTTAGCTAGCTTATGAAAACAAAATCAAAGCAACCTTCCACAAATAGATAAGTGTATATCCCGCATAAGGCTTGTATGGCCATATGAATGTGCTGTATTACAACATTCATACAAACCAAAATACAGTGGGATTTATTTTAAAAAGAAGAAGAGGCTGTTCACTATGCAAAGTGTATTTTTACTTCATAAAGTGTATATTAATGAATAAGGTAAAGTGTTCACTAATTACCTAATCAAATTCTGGAGAAAATATTTTTTTACATGCACATAACTGGGTATTCAATGTAAACACAGATTCACCTTATTCACATTCTTCACTTTGGTAATAGAACAGACTCTACTTTTTTTAGGATTTTGGAATCAGGAAATTGTCTACATAAAGATAATCTTTAAATTTTTTATTAAATGCTAGTGATTTAAATATCCTTCCAGCCTATTATATTGTTCATGGAGATGCTGCAAGTGAGTACTCAACTTCATCCACCTGCCATGGTCAATGCAAGAGGTCCCACTGTCTCTACTGGACTTTTATTTTATTTTACATTGCAGCAGCACCAGAAGTGAGACTCCTCCTTCTGCAGAAAGAAAAATAAGACTTTAGAAGGAATACACAGAGATGGGAATACAAGCAGGATGGGAATTTAAGCCTCTTAGATCTGTGTAACTAGTGGCCAAATGGGTCCAGTGTTTATTTATATATTAAACAATATTTTCAGGGTGAGTTGCCCTTTTTCATCAGCAATAGTAATTTTGGGATACTCAGCACGAAAGCTTTGTAAAATATGAACATTTACAGAGATTATTGTCAACAGCCTTTTACACTGTCAATCTATGTTATAAACCACAAAATAGTTTAATGGTCTTACCACTGACTGATAGCACTGTGTCACTTAGACTTAGCAGCTTTCACTATTCCAATTTTTTAAATAGACTATTGTCATGAGATGATGCACTTATCTATTAAGAGTATAGCCTTCCTCTTGTCATCTGTATAAGACTGTGTTGTTTGGCATATATATTAAAATCTCAGCTCTGCATTTCTTTTTCCTTTTATAGGGGTCTCCAGGTGCTGCAGGCATTAAAGGAGAGTCAGGAGAACCAGGCCCCCAGGTAAGTCATTTTTGTCCCCCACTAATGTTTGTTTTAGTTTTTTTTCTTAATGATCATTATCACAATTATCATTATGTTTTCTTTATTATCTGCACAATGCGCATATGTAACCATAATTATTTTGTGCTGCAGGGTCCTAGAGGAATTCAGGGAGGACCTGGTTCAATGGGAAAAGCTGGCAAAAGAGTAAGTGAGGATATTACTACTTACCTCATTATTACATAATCTCAAAATACTTCAAGAAGAAGGTAACATAAAGCCTCAAACCAGATGTCAAACAAGTCTCAAACAAGTTTCAAGATAGGGTATTTGATGCATTTTTATAAAGGCTGACAAGTACTCATTGAAACTTAGAACAAGTGTATTGGTCAGAAAGACTAAATGCACATAAGCACTCAGTGAACATTGTACTCTTCTGTGCGTTACCTGAGGGACCAGCCATGCTGCAGATTATCAGATTTGGATAAAAAGTAGAAAGCCCTATCAGATCCTTTTTACTACTCCTCACTTCTAGTCCTGGTAACTATACAAGAAGTGAGACAAACTCTCCCCAGCTGGAACATACTGTACCAGTTAAAAGCTTTGGATCTTCATACCCTTACAAAGATTGCAGAGAATGCTTTTACTGCAGTTAATGCCCACACCAGGGGAGATTTTCTCTCTAGTCCTGCTCTAGGGACCTCACATAAAGCAGAGAGGAAAGTATGCCAACAGAGACAAAAAAAAAAAAAAAAAAGCAGTGGTTCACCAATCCCCAAATTTTTGGCTTAAGTTCTATTTTAATAGACTGAATCTTTACAAACTATCACTTTTGGTAATGTACATACCTTAAAGTGATAGCAGGAGTATACTATGCTCAGTGGCAGAGATTATATCCCCTCCTGTATAAACACATTTTATTGTTACTTAGGAATCAGCCAACTGTTGCACATGTATAAAATCAAAGAAGCACTGCCCTCCCATCCAGCCAACCTAGTGTAGACTTGAAAACAGCCTCAGCCATGAGCTTCTGCCAAAGACACGCCCCCCAACATATTTTGTTCCAGTCGGCAGAATGAAACACATCAGAGGCCATGGCTATGGAAGAGGTTGTTTTCAAGTCTACACTACGTTTTTTTTTATGGGGGTGTGGCTCTTCTTTAATTTTATACATGCATCGCTTAGGATGAGCACCTTTGGCAGCCTGCACATTTCTCCCTGGCAACTGCAGGAGTTTGACTTCCCTAGCTTGAGAGGTGTTCATAATCTAGCACTAAGGTCACAGCTGTTGTATATGTTTATGCTTAAGAGGTTTCTTGTGATCACTGCTCTAGGTTGTGGTTATTGAATAATTGGAGTTCCACAATTCCCTACAAAGATGCAGTGGAAGGACCATCTAGGGAATTATCCATTCCTACAGGCCTAGAAGGATGCTCACCTCAAGCAGGCAAAGTTGTCACATTAGTAACTGAGCATCACTGAGGAGTAAATCTGCCTGGGTTGGGTTTGCAAACAGTTTGACATTTGCAAAATTTGAATGTGTTGAATCTTGTTATTCACATATGACAATTTTAGAGATAATAAGCAAGCTATTGTCAATCAGAGGGTAAAATAAATTGAATAATAACATAAGGAAAATATACCAATGCCAAAAAAAAATAAAACTGTTGAACTCCCTATACAGCTCCAACACATATTGACAATATGGCTTCTATGAGCCTTCCCTTCTATAGTGAGGGGGCGGTTTTATCCATTTCTCCTGATTATTGGCTCTTGTGACTCAGCTGACCATGGATTTTGCAAACTCTGGGGATTTGCTGCTCACTCATGGCTGTGAACGAACCTGAACTCCACCCCTACTGTATCTAAAACCATCTATATATGTCTATCTATTTATCTATCTATCTATCTATCTATCTATCTATCTATCTAACATTTATAGGTAGCGTTGATCCAGGGAATATCCAATTGCCTCTCGGGGGATCAGGAAGGAGTTTTTTTTCCCTGCAGGAGCAAATTGGATCATGCTTTGCTGTGTTTTTTGCCTTCCTCTGGATCAACTGTGGGGTGTAGGATTATATCTTTATTTTTACATTTTTTTTATGGTTGAACTGAATGGACCTTTGTCTTTTTTCAGCCAGACTAACTATGTAACTACAGTATGTAAGATAGATAGACAAAGCTAGTTGATTCCATATGATGTTAAATCTTTTAGTTAGTTTAACTCAGGGTCATTACAGTCTGTTATGCTTCTATTTTGAGTACATACATCTTGTTTATATTGATTGATTTACCATTGCTGGCCTTTGGATCATGAGAATTGTAACAAGGAAGTATGTTTATATCAAGTCTGTTTTTAAAAATGTCAGTGTTTCAATGATACATTCTCCGGCTAACACAACAATTTTAATTGCAAGTTTTCAGAACATTTGATTTGTTTGTAGTCAGTTCTGTAGCAAACCTGAAGAGAAAACTGAATGTTTCAGCTCCCATTTAAGTCATTTTAACTCTCTTTTTCTGCTTTGATTGAAAACTAACAAGGTACAACATTCTGCAAGGCTGTATTTTTAATTTAATTACAGCAGGATGAAAAAAAAAAACATACGTACTGCAGCCTCTACTTAGTTTAACGTTCAGCATTTGAAATATTGTAATTAAATATTATTAGGTAAATATTTTCTCTTTTTTTCTTCCGTTGGGAATCAGCAAGCTTGTGGTAAAGGAATTAGTAATGCTATGCTGTACAAGACATATAGGTTTTGCTATCTATTAATATGACATGTTCAATTTCAGGGACGTCCTGGAACAGATGGAGCCCGTGGAATGCCTGGAGAACCTGGTTCAAAGGTATGGTATTCATTATTTTTTAACTTTTATGGGGAAAGTATACTTTTCAGAGTTTTTTCACACAATTACATAGAGTGATTCAGGTCTATCTGACCAGTAAAAAAGGGTATAGGCAGGTAAAGTACTAATGGTTCTTAGCAATAACTTTGAACTACTCAATTTTTGTATTTGTTTTGCAGGGTGACAGAGGTTTTGATGGTCTTCCAGGTCTCCCTGGTGAGAAAGGGCACAGGGTAAGTCATTCCTTGGGGTGGAATAAAACTCTAGTCTTTAGGAATATGTTTTCCTATTCTTAGAAGAAAATTTTAATTACTATGTTGTTCCAGCAGAGGGTGCTCTCTACTTTGTTCTCTTACTGCTGATTTCATAATATATTTTGGCTTGCAAAATCTGATAAATGTGCAAAAAAAAAAAAACCCCAAACCTACTTAACCATTCATTAAAACTGCTTACAAATACACAAATAGCATATCAATATTATTTTATTTTTTTCATGTGAGGGTACATATACATTGCTATTGACATGGTTATGGGGAAATATATTTATCTATCTATCTATATATATATATATATATATATATATATATATATATATATATATATATATATATAAAAAAATGTTAAATATACTTCAAAGCAAGGCATATAGTATATTGTAAGATTTATACCTTCATCAAGTGGCATCCCAGATATGTCTTTTTTTAATTGTCTGTTTCCGGGGCCGATCATCTGCAAGCAGGGGCGTACTGTCAACTCATGAGGCCCTTGGGCAATAGGGGATCATGGGGCCCCTGTGTCCTTGCCAAAACTCAAAAAAGCCTATGATAAAGGTACCAGGGGCATCTCATGGGGCCCCCTACTGACCCCGGGCCCGAGTTTCCAAATGGTCAGTCCGCCCCAGTCTGCATGTAATTTTTTCATGGGCGGTTACATGCAATCGGAAGCAAATAGCTGTTGTGCTGTAATGCTCCTATATTGCTTTCAATTGGGCTCTCTGCTCACAGCTAATCGCAAGAAACCCCCACTTAGTCTGCTGTGGATAATCACATAAGCCCATATTTCAAGTGTGAACAGGACCTTGATGAGTTTAAAATGAAAGGAAAAGCTGGCCATAGATGAGATGAAAACTGGACGTTCTGTTGACTGAAAAATAACAATAGCTCATACGATTGTGCCATAATTTGTTTAGTCTTCCTAAAAAAAATAGCCAGCATGTTGGTTTGAGCACTTTTGATTGTGGCACGAAAATCATGTGTGGCAGCTAGCACACTAATGATACAAAAACCCAAACAATTTGACAACCAACAAGAGTTTTTGTTTGGTTTTTGACTCATCTATGGCCAGCTTAAGTTTATGTTTTATAAAATGTTACATGTTACACCCGTATTCAGAATGTAACATGTTACTGATGCAGTAGCCTCCGCATCACCCCCCCGAGTCCCAGTTGTGACAGCGGTCTGGGGATCTTTTCCCTGCACTCACTGTCACAATTTAAAAAAAAAGACAGCCGTGTAGGGCTCCATTCACCTGGCCACATGATTCATTCAAAGAGTTCTGTGAATGGAAGAACTACATCTACAACTACAGCCGCAATGAAATACCAGGGCGCTAAACTTTAAAGGCAGCCATAAGTACTGCAATGCATGCATCAGAATTTTGGAAATTACTGTAGGCACTTTGCCTAATTGCCTAATAGAGAAAGAAGCAAGAGTCTCAGCAATGTCAAGCCTACTGGTCCAAATCACATTGAAAGCCCCATTTTAAAGGACATATTTTATTGAGCAACAAAACATAGTGAGCAGCATTCAGGGCACTCACAGGATCTTTTTGTCAAGTTCAAATGTTGAATCACTAGTGAATTGTCCTAAAACAATGACTCCCACTAAGCCTAAAACATTCAGATCTTGTTTTCTTAATTGCAGCAATCTTATGAGAGGCAAGTTAGTTATACATTTCGTATATGAAGATATGAAATCAATGGATCTCTACTGAGAATTATCAGATCTTCTAGGCAGAGCTGCTGACCTTTGCAATAACATTATTACATCTGAAAATGCCACCATAGGTACACAGAAGAGTGTGCCAGCTGCACGCCTGATATAACAAATGGACTGCCAAATAAAGACCAAACTAGGGATTAGCACTGGAATTTTAAATTCCTTTTAGGAGTAAACAAAAGGCAAAAAACATATTAAAGTTAGTTTTATTTAGTATATTTTGTATGTTTTTTAAAATGTATTTTTTTAAGTTTGTTGAAGGGTTTCTTCTCTATTTTGTTTGTTTTTTAGGGTGACCGAGGTCCTCTAGGCCCACCTGGCCCACCTGGTGAAGATGGAGACAGGGTAAAACAATTTAACCATGTGCTTTTTATCTCTTTACCTATCCTAAAAAAACTGGGTGAACTCTAGCACTTTAACATGTTATTTTCTTTGTTTTTTTATTCTGTACTAGAAATACCCAGTCACCAATATATTATATTAATATATTAAAGCAACAGTCTTTCTGATTTTACAGCTGTATTGCCGTTTTATGGCACACTTTGGCATGATAATGCAATGAACCTGTCTCTTTATATAAAAGAAATACAACTAGGTATTTTCTAACCAATCATGGTGTGATGCACACTCAGGATGTCGTAAACCTAGGAAGTGTGGCAGCTGTCACCCAAATAGCACAGGGAGAAACAAGCCAGGGACAACACCTGCTATGACCAATAAACAGAAACTGCAAGAATAAAATGCGTAGTAAGCTATGAAAAATCCAAGCTCTTGTGATATAAAATGACTCTTACCTATTCTGCGTAAGGAGTGCTGCCAGCTGATATTGCACTGCACAGTACCATTTCTCCTTTAATAAGAAAACTAGAGAAAACTCTCACTACAAGCATTTAGCTCTTTCAACAGACCTTACCTTTCATTTAGTCCAAAATGTTTTTTAATGCAAGTAAACCCAACCCATAAAATATGCTAAATTACTTCATTATTATCAGAAGAAAATGTGGTCTAGAAGTAATGGACACAATAATATTAAGTTATTTAAGTAGGATAATCTACTTGCTGACAGTGTTTGTTGCAGCCTTAAATAATAAACCTTCTGTATATTTACATATTTAATTTATATTCTTACAGACTGTAACAGACCTTAGCTCTCTGTTTTAGGCTTTAAAACAATTTAATTTTTATAAGATTTTAATCTCATGCCCAAGTTATGGGTCATTGTCAGAGAGCTGAGTCACTGCCAGTATAGCCCTCAGGGTCTTTTGACCATACAAATATATAACTTTTTTTTCACCAGCACACCTTATCTCTATTCAGGCACAAATGAGAATATCACCAACCAAAATTTGGAACCACGCCAGGGCCTCTTTTTCAATTGATGTCTGAATAAAGACAGATTTCCTTCTAGAAGTGTGTTTTTTAAAATGTTTGTATGTTTGAATTATGGACAATTCCATCCATTCAGTTCACGACATGGCGTGCGACTGATTACATATTTGATTGGACCATAGAAGATGCACCACTGCACCCAAGTAAATGTACCACTGGCCCAATTTCAGTTCCTTTAATGCAGGATATAAGCTTCTTTTGAAGGGCCTGTAAGATTGTGAATAGAATTAATAAAGCAGAAGTTAACTCACAAGAAAAGTACAGGAGGTATATTTATTTATTAGAGGTACTTATATAGCACCATCAATTTACGCAGTGCTTTACACACATATATATATATATATATAAATTTGTACATTCACAACAGTCCCTAACCCTCAAGGAGTGTACAATCTAAAGTCCCTAACTCACATCCATACATACACATACTAGGGTCAATTTAGACATGATCCAATTAACCTACCAGCATGTCTTTGGAAACCGGAGTACCCGGAGGAAACCCATGCAGGCACAGGGAGAACATGCAAACACCAGGCAAGTGGTACCATATTTGGGATTTGAACCAATGACCCTAGTACTGCCAGGCGGAAGAGCTAAAACCATTTAACCACTGTGCTGCCCAGGTACTATTCAGATAAAATATATACACTGCATTCACATAACAAAAATAATGGGAATCAATGACAAAAAACTCAATTTTACATTAGTTGATTGTTTTTAAATCAGTCAAATGTAGACCTGCATGACTCATCCATTATGAAAATCCATGCTGCCAGTTGATCAGATTTTCATGAAATCTGACGTGGACTTTTTATTAAAATGTCATGTAAGAAGGGTGCATATTAGCATTACCAAATGACAACATTGGTTTGAGTAGAAAATTATCCCTAACTTGATGTGACTAAAAGAAACAAGGCTTCCAATGTCAAGCAATCGACCCAAAGCCTGGGCAAAGATCACACTTTCTCTGGCCACAAAAGGCATTATGGGTGCTTCATGTCATTGAAACAGCCCAGAACCTATTGATCCTGTCTGTTAAACCTGCAATGAAATGGGAGGATTAGTAGAGAGAGAAGCATGGCTGCCCTTGTGTTTCTACTAATGTGTGTATATATATATATACAGTATATATATATATATATATATATATATATATATATATATATATATATTTACAAACGATGTACAGAAACAGTTTAAATACTCAATCAATAGACACTTTGAAATAGCCAACATAGCAATTTATATTTCTATAGAGAGGATACGAAATATATCTATACAGATAACAATATGTAATCTTTTCCAGCCAGCACATTAACATTAGTTTCTAGGCTTGCTTCTTAAATTAGCCTTTTCTATCCATCTTGGAAAAGGTTATATACTACAATATATATTTTACCATTTGACAAACACAGGCATTCATCGCTTGTCCTGCTTTTACGTGCTGTGTGTTTAAATAACAGTAGAAACAGCTTTTTCTTTTGTGTAACAGGGAGAAGATGGAGAGGTTGGACCCAGAGGGCTGCCCGGTGAACCTGTGAGTGACACATTAATCTGTTTTACACAGAACTCTTACTTTATAGCTTCACATTTTCACAA